ATTTTACTCAAAACATATTTAAATTATGATATAATTTTTGAGTCTGAATTTTTAAAATAAAACTCCCTAAACTTTTAACACTAAAGGCCTTAGAAAGTATAACATAAGTTCTGGATGGTCATGCTGTCTTAATCTCCTAGCATCAATGTCTGCTAATAAAATTAAATGTTACTATGCTTGAGCAATCTTAAATGATGTTTTTGTCATTATAAAAGAAGCACTATTGCTAGGTTGTTAATTTATTAACTGATAGTAAGATGACCATGTTTTATGAATAAGTTTTCACGTATGTATTTACTTATATTGTTTGTTTTATTTAACAGATTCCTAATCATCAAACTGTTGATCAAAGACTGATCATAACCAATGCTGGTATTGCACCTTCTGGAACCACGGGCTTGAGAAAACCCCCAGGATCACTTCTTCTTGCCTTCCTTTTTTTTTCTCTGCTTGAATCAGTGTGGACTCCTAGAACATGTGACTTGCCTCGAGAAAATGCAAACTTTCAAAAAGAGACTCAGCATTCAGCCTCCAGTGAATGAGAAGACATCTTCCAAGAATATAAACAATGACTTTGGTTTACTTTTGAAAAAGCAAAAGCCTTTACTTGCTTCAGTTGGGAAGCTGCCCTCTCCACTCTGCCTTTGTTACAGAGCAGGGAGCTATTGTGAGGCTACCTTCTGAGCAGCGGACTCAAAAGCATTTTCAGGCTTGTCAGAGAAGGGAGGACTCACTAGAATTAGCAAACAAAACCACCCTGACATCCTCCCTCAGGAACAGGGGGAGCAGGGGGCCAGAGCACTAAGGGGAGGACACATACCCGAGAGACGATTGTATGAAGAAAACATGGAGGAACTGTTACATGCTCGGTACTAAGTCATTTTCAGGGGATAGAGAGACTCTTGCTGGATTTCATGATGCTGACCGGTGTTAACTGATTAATCCACGTAAATAGGCACTTAAATGGAAGCAGGGAAGGGAGGGAAAGACTGGCTTCTGGACTTCCTCCCTGACCCCCACCCCTTATGTATCACCTGTAGTGGCTGGAGCAGGGAGTCAGGATTAAACCAGTGTACGACAGTGCTGGCTCCCACTGCCCGCTCACAGTGAAACTGTTGGTTTTATTCCAGATGTAGCTTGTGCAGATGTAGCAGGAAAATAGGAAAACCTACCATCTCAGTGAGCACCAGCTGCCTCCCAAAGGAGGGGAAGCTGTGCTTATGTTTTTATGGTTAGAAAGGCACAAAATTATTAGCAACCTATCTCAAACATTCCTTTTCTCTCTTTTTTCCTAAATTATCATAGAGTTTTCCAGTTCTCTCTTTGGACTGTAGATTTTCTTTTTTGTCTTTTACAAATGCTTTACAATGTAAAATATTTATTTTTTAATTCTTCTGGAAGATCAGGCTGAAGGATTTATTCATGGAAAAGGAAGAAGCCGAAGGACTATCCATATCATCTTTGTTAGGAGTCTTCATGACTATAAGATTGTAAATACAGATTATTTATTAACTCTGTTCTGCCTGGAATTTAGATTTCATATGGAAAGTGTTTGAGAGCAGGTAGTCGAGATTTAGCAGCAAATCTCTATCAAGAATGACACAAAGAAAATCAGCATAACAAGCTGCTTTGTGCTTAGAATGAATGTTTTGGGATTCTTTTTCTTTTTTTTCCTTTGTTTTGTCTTTTCAAGTGGAATTAGTTGGTTATGCATTTGTGAGTGTTGTGGATTGCAAAGAAAGCCATGAGGTCTTCCATATACTGTTTTACCCCATCCCTTGCATCTATTTCCAGGGAGAAGGAAAGCATATACACTTTTTTTTTCATTTTTCCAAAAGAGAAAAAAAAATGACAAACGTGAAACTTATATACAAATATTACCTCATTTGTTGTGTGACTGAGTAAAGAATTTTTGGATCAAGCAGAAAGAGTTTAAGTGTCTAACAAACTTAAAGCTACTGTAGTACCTAAAAAAGTCAATGTTGTACATAGTATAAAAACTCTTTGCAGAAAAGTATTCCCAATAAGGAAATAGCATTGAAATGTTAAATACCATTTCTGAAAGTTATGTTTTTTTCTATCATCTTGTATACCATTGCTTTATTTTTATAAATTATTTTCTCATTGCCATTGGAATAGATATCTCAGATTGTGTAGATATGCTATTTAAGTAATTTATCAGGAAATACTGCCTGTAGAGTTAGTATTTCTATTTTTATATAATGTTTGCACACTGAATTGAAGAATTGTTGTTTTTCTTTATTTGTTTTGTTTTGATTTGTTTTTTGCTTTTTATACCCCCCCAAGTTTTTACTACTTGCCAATACCTTTTTCTAGGAATGTGCTTTTTTGTACACATTTTTATCCATTTTACATTCTAAAGCAGTGTAAGTTGTATATTACTGTTTCTTATGTATAAGGAACAACAATAAATCATATGGAAATTTATATTTATACTCACTGTATCCATGTTTATTTGTTCTCTGCTACCTTTATGTTATGAAGATATGGGTAAATACCATCCTTAAACCAATATACTATACACAAAAAGAAATTACAGTAATAATAGTAACATTCACAGTTTTTATTTGATTCAGAAAGACTTGAGTTTGCTCAGGCCTGGGCTGAGAATGTGCTGGGTTTGTGGAATAAAAGAACAAAACAATACATTAGCCTGCCATATTAAAAACATAAAAGAAATAAACCCTATGTCAAGGACCTCAAAGGAATAGAATTTGATATTAATATCATTTATTGAATCCTTTTCAAATTCCAGTTCTGTCTCTAAAAAGAACAATAAAAGCAAAGGCAAAAACAGCTATGAAGCACAAGCAACTCTTGCAACTCAATTTTCTGACCCATGAACGATGGCACTAAGTGGGCAACATGATCACGTGTTGTGGAGAAGCTGCGACACTAAATGTGTATCAGGGAGGAATTATCCTTGAAAAGTTTCTTGGACATTACAGATACCACCTTTTGTGATATCTATGAATGAATAAATACCACCCTTGGTGAAAAACAGATTACAAAAAAAACGTGAAATTTGCAATACATGAGAGAGTGTGTATGTGTATAAATATAAAATTATTTTGTGAGGAGAAGCCCCAACTGTTACAATAAGCAGACCTTGAATTTTGGATGGCTGAATCATGAATGTGGAATGATGATCAATTTCCAGGTTTAATAAAAACAGATCAAAGAAGAAATTTTATGAGTAGGTTAGAGATCTGGCTTTGAGGTCTGTTAAACACTAGGAAGGACTGGCTAAATGAGACAATCTTCCTCCCTTGTTGATTTTTCTCTCTCATTCTAAAAATACCTATCTAGGTAGCATGATCACACATAAGTGTAAATTGCCAAATCATTTTATAGTGGCAAGGTGAAGAAGCAAGAACTAGAAAGTGTTGGTAATGGTTGTGGAGTTAGGAAAACTTATCTGAAAGAAAGAATTCTTCGAAACATGACTTCCTTCATTCTCAGAGTAGTTCAACATGTGAAGTCCTGGGACAGAATTCTAATTCATTTTTAGGTAGTGGAGCAAAACTGATTGAAAATATCAAGATGAGACAGAAAAAGTAGCTGGGAACAGGAGCCTTTTTTCCAGGCATGTCCCATTTTCACCCTGAAACTGACCTTCAAATCAGCAGGTTATAGTGAAATAAAGAACTTGTTAAATATTAAAATTACGTCATCAAGATGATAGCTTTTCCTCCCTCAAGAGTTTATTGTCATACGTTACAGGAGAGTTAGACTGAAGAGCAATAAACTTTAGGTCCTATGGGAATTTACAATAAAGGTGGTGCCAGTAGCTTATATGTAAAAAAAAAAAAAATCTCAAATTTTAAGCTTCCAAATTCATTCTTAAAATGAATTAGCTCTCTCTCTCTTATATATAATTTGTATTCTTTATCTTGTTCTGGGGCAAACACTCAGGCCTAAAGGGAACCTCAAAATAAAAGCACTTATTTTTAATAATAACACTTTCTCTCTAAATCAGAGTAACCTTTTTAAAATCTGGAACCTCTGTGTTGAATTATAAATTAGTTCACCAGTCCTTGTTAGAGTTACCTTCAGTTGACATGTTATGGAATGATGTCACCTCTTTTAATGGCAGAATCCATTACTTTAAATCAGTCTGTTTTCTTCCCCTTTCCTAAATAATAGAAAGGCTCACTATGCTCCAAATACCATTTGCAGAAGCACACTAGAAAGTCATAAGCCCTTTGTCTACCACTCTAGAAATAATTTCTCTCTCTTTTTCTCTGTCCTCTCTTCCCCTCCCCCTTCCCCCTTCTCTCTCTCTCTCTCCCTCTCTCTCTCTCTCTCTCTCTCTCTCTTTTCTCTCTCTCTATCTTTATATCTGTCTATCTCTGTCTCTCTTTTTCTGTCCCTTATACACACACACATCAAATACCAGGAAAGCATGGATTTAGAAAGCTGAGCTCCTCTAACAGGCTGATGGACAACAATGGCTCCTCTCTGTCCCACTCCAAATTCCCACCCACACCACCGCTGCCCTCTGATTGTTCCCACCCAAACCCAACACACAAAAGAGTGCCACATGTCATTCCTATGAGAATCTAAAATCAGGACTTTTCTAACTTCTGCTGTTACCCCACATCAAAACTCTTGGCATCATGAAAAATCATATTGCAGCACATTGATATTAGCACAAACCATTTTTATTTTAAATGAACAGACAGTAAACTGAAATGAAGGGCTGAAAAAAAAACAGAAGGTATTGCATCTATCAATACCTCTGAAAATAGTAGCTATAGAATTTTTCATCTTAAAGGGTCAAAGAGGCTAGGCATGGTGGCTCACACCTATAATTCCAGTACTTTGGGAGGCTGAGGCAGGAGATCACTTGAGGCCAGGAGTTTAAGATCAGCCTGGGCAACACAGTTGGGACCCCCCATCATCTCTACAAAAAAGATTTTAAAAATGAGTCGGGCATGGTGATGCACACCTGTAGTTCTAGCTACTTGAGAGGCTGAGACAAGAGGATCGCTTGAGCCCAGGAGTTTGAGGTTACAGTGAGCTATGATCCTGCCACTGCACTGCAGCCAAGAGTGACAAAACTAGACTCTGTCTCTGGAAAAAAAAAAGTCAAGGAAATTTGATGTAAGCAATTACTAATGTTATTCGATATCAGTAGAGGAACATGTGCCAGCAAATTTTATTAAAAGCAGCACAACAGCCAACTCATTTTTTGAATCAAAAAAAAAATTGGAATTCCAGGACTAATGCCAATTCATCTTATGGGGTGTCAACATAAAATTTTCTCTGAATCTAGGTTACTGACCTGTAACTAGACCAACCTTCTCTCTTAAAATATTATCACAGACTCTTTTTTTTAAAGGTATTCATCTTTATTTGCTGCATTCTAAAAGGCCCAAACTCTGAAAGAAAATAGCAAACTGAAAATAATACATCAAATAATTCAGTTAAACTCCTACTTAAGAAAAGCATCATTGCTAATAAGATAACAAAGGCTCTCCTCACATTGCTTTGCTGAGGAAATTCACCTTTTCCTAAGGCAAGCTGTACCTATTTAACAGACATTAGACAGGTGACAAAAAGGAAAAGCAGGGCCACAGCAAAAATTCATAGTGATCACAATCTGTATGAATCACAATAAAGTTGAAACATATCATAGCATTCTGGCTAGTTTCACCATAATACATATACATTGAAATGTTAATTTTTATAATGTATGCCTGATATTGCAAGATTAGCAATAAATTTATAAAAAATTTTCCCAGCAATTTCAATGAAGAAAAACTACTGAACAATTACACCCCAAGTCTCAAAAATATCAAAGAAATGTAAACCACAACAGGAGAATCCAAATGTCAAAATCATATTTGAGAGAGTGTGTATGTGTACATGTGTATAAATATAAAATTATATTTTATATTTAATATAAAATATAATAGTCGAATAGTCTCACAATGCATTCATTGAATTCAAAAGATTCGCCAATAATGTAATGTAACTGGATTACCAACTTTCTCCAAAGCACACCCCAGCAATTCCTTACTTAGGATTCTTCACATTCTTCTGTTGTGTCTTCAGCCTTCCTGTTCATCTGCACATAAACACAATAACTAAAATCATTAGACAATCAGAAATGTGTGCACAATTAACAAAAATAATTCAGCCTATAAAACATTAAGTCCTTCTATACATGAAACAATAATCATATTCTCATTTAAATACTTATTCTACAGTCTCCACAGCTATTTATAAGGTTTACAAGAAAAACGCCTGCCCTTTCCCAGCTCTGGGGGAACATTCTGGGATTTGAGAGCTAAAATTATTATGAATTTGGAAACAGACATCAAAATTAATTTTTTGCTTTCTAGTAAGTTTCTGGGAAATAGAGTGAAAGCAAAAATAAATATTACATGTAGGATAGATAAGTGCTAATTGCTTTTCATTTCTTCAAAGTGAGAAAAAAATTGTGACACTAACAGAAATGGAACGGAAATATTTTTCTACCCTTACTGAGAAGGTTATCCAGAAAAGGCAGAATTGGCAATAGAATCAAATGAAAGAAGACAATAAAAGAGGATCAGGAGAAACTGGAACCCTCATGTACTACTGGTAGGAATGTAAAATGGTGAAGTAGCTTTGGAAAATAGTCTAGCAGTTCCTCAAAAGTTTACCGTAGACCTGGCACTTCTACTCCCAGGCATATTCCCAAGAAAAATGAACACATAAATCTCCACAAAACACATAAATCTCCACAAAAACTTGTACACAGATATTCATATCAGCATTATATGTAATAGCCAAAAGTAGAAACAACCCAAATGTCCATCAACTGATAGATAAATAAAATATGGTATATCCATACAATAGAATATTATTCAACAATAAAAAAGAATGGAGTACCAGTACATGTTACCACATGGATGAATCTGGAAAACATTCTGCTAAGTGTAAGTGGCCAGTCACAAAAGGACACAGATTGTATGATTCAATTCATACAATGTTCAGGCTAGGCAAATTCATAGAGACAGAAAACAGATTAGGGATTGCCTACAGCTGGTGTTGGGGGAAATGGAGTGTGATGAATAATACATACAGGGTTTCTTTGAGGGTAAGGAAAATGTAAAACTGATACTGGTGATGGATGTACAACACTGTAAACATACTACAAGTCATTGTATTGTATACTTTAAATGGGTGAATTGTATGGAATTGTTGAACAGTGAACCCAAAAAAGTTATATCCACATCGTAATCCCTGGAACCTGTGAATGTTACCTGATTTGGGCAAAGGGTCTTTGTAGATGCAAATAAAGATCCTGAGATAATGAAATCATCCTGGATTATATGAGTAGACCCTAAATTCAGTAACAAGTATCCTTTTGTAAAAAAAAAAAAAAAAGCAGAGGGAGATTGAGACACACACAGAGTAGAAGGCAATGTGAAGATGAAGGCAGAGGTTAGAGAGACACGGCCACAAAGCAAGGAAGCTGAGGAAAGCCAACAGCCACAAGAAACTGGGAGAAGCACGGAAGCTTTCTCCTTTAGAACCTCCAGGTGCAGTGTGACCTGGATTTCAAACTTCTGGCCTCCAGAACTGTGAGAGAATAAATTTCTGTTGTAGCAACCAGAGGCAACTAATACAGGTACAGAAATTATGTCTCAATAAAGCTGTTATAAAAAGAAGAATCAACGTAACTATTACGAGCAGATGACTCGGCATTTCAGAGAGCAAATTGAGATGTGTAGTGATATTGTCAACACACAGAGAAGAAAGATTAAACAGGATGTAGAGGGAGGTGGGATGGATAGAGAGTGGACCACAGTGAAGAGATGAGAGATGATGAGACCACACCTCCATGCCTCTGTAAGTGCTAGTCCTGTACTATAGAGTGTTCTCCTTTTGCCCACCCAGTAAATGACCACTTATGCCTTGGAGGCTCAACTTAAATGCCACCTCTCATCTCCCCACTGTTCATCATTCTCTCAGTAGTGTTGCCCATGTAATTTGTCCTGAAGCTCTTATTATACTTGCCCCGCCCTACTGTAATTATCTGTTGAAGTGTCTGCCTTCAACAACAGACTATGAAATTCTCCAGCGCAGTGATTATGTCTTATTCCTCTTATATCCTAGAAGAATGGTCATAAAATGTTTGTGGGGTGCATCAGTGCATCAGTGGATGGACGGATAGTAGATGGATGACAAACACACACGGTGGAGCCCTGGAGCAGCAGTTTTAAAGCATGGCTGCACAACAGAATCACCCACACCCCGTCTTCAGGCACTGACTTAAACAAATACTGACACCAAAGCCAACCCCTAGATATTGATTTAATTCATCTGGGATGGAACCAAGGGTATTAATCTGTTTTAAATCTCACCAGGTGATTCTAACATGCAGCCAGAGGTAAGGCTCAGCACTGGCTAAGGGACAGACTCAGTATAGCTTAAATGCCGGGCAGATGCAAGCAGAGATCAGACAATCAAAAGTATGCAAAGCACAAACAGTCCCATACTGGCTTTGTGTGTCTCTAAATAAAATACTAACCATGAAAGAGTAGAGAACCCAACTGAGGGTGCCAGAGCATGTTTGCTTTCAGTGGCTAAGAGTAAGGTTACCCAAAAGAATAACAATATGGGTGGTTGGAGAGATAAGAAGACAATCTGAAGAGGGCAGTATCTTTCTTAAAAAGAAATTTAGGAAGAAAAAATCAGGAGTTGAGTAGATTGGAAAGAAGATACTTTCTGTACATTTTCACCAACACCATTTATGCTAGTATTTTTTAAAATTCTAAAGTAGAGGTGACTACTCCACCATCTAGTCCAGAACTTCTCACCCTTTAATGTGCACACAAATCACCTGCTGGGGGCATCATGGTAAAATGCAGGCTTTGATTCAGTAAGTCCAGAGTGGAGCCTGGGACTCTGCATTTCTAACAAGCCCCCCCCCACCCCCGCCACTGATGCTGAATACTGCTGGCCCATAGATCTAGTCTGCAGTCATGACAGCTGATCTTCAGTAACTTTTTACTTTTACCCAATTTGAATGAAGCGATGGTATCAGAAGTTCCCAATAACTTATAAAATGATAAGTATGTTACAATTAAATATAAAAACTGTCAAACATGCCATTGTTTACTTTTTACCACTATATAAAATGATAGAGAGTGATATTTTATGAGTAGATAGAGCAAACGATCATTAGTAAATATTTACATGAAAAGTCTCCCTCAAGAAGAATTGGACTATATTAGTTTTATCTTTTGAGTAACTAATTTGCTGTTTGGTTAAGTGTTCTCAGTTTCAATTTAGAGTGACCAACCAACCCAATTTGCTAGGGACGGAGGGTTTCCTGGAATGTGGAACATTCAGTGGTAAAACAAGAACACTCCTGAGCAAATCAGTGTGTTTGGTTACCCTAGTTTTCATTTAGGGGTGTTATTTTCAAAAAACGCCTTACATGACTCATTGCCTTTTGTTACACATTTTTAAAACCGATACATAATGATATATATTTATGGGGTACATAGTGATGTTTTGATACATACAATGTATAGTGATACATATACAATGTATAGACATACAATGTATAGTGATCAAACCAGGGTAATTAGCATATCCATCACCTCAAACATTTATCATTTCTTTGTGTTGGGAACATTCAAAAGTTTCTCATCTAGCTATCCAAAAATATATAATAAATTACTGTTAACTAAGTTAGTTAACTTAATTAACTAATTAAGTAACCCTATGGTGCAATAGAAACTAGAATTTGTTCCTCCTGTCTAGCTGTAATTTTGTACACTTGAACAAATCTCATCCTACCTCCCCTCCCCACTGACAGTTATAGAATTTTTTAAGAACACTTTTCACTCAATAGGTCCCGTGGGAAATTCCACTTTGTTTTTCTTGAAGAATTAGTATAGCTGTGCCCTTTCTTCACTTCACAACTGACTTTTGTCCCTTTTTCCTGTTTCCACTATATTTGTTATTTGTTATTCATGTGTTCCTTTTTATTGTATGAATTTCTGTTGATGACTAGTTCAAATACTTGGTGAGAAGAGAGAATACTGTACATGCATAGATGCATTTTGTTTTGATTACCTAGAGAGCAACTCAGTATAAGATAATTTGATTAAATACCAGACTAATCACAGCCCTAAAGTGCCAATGAAATCAGAGGTGTCTCTGAGATTAAGAGTTACCTGAGAATGCTTTCTGCCCACTTGCCTCACACTTCTACATAGAACTTGCAATGGAAGCGTCCTGGCCTCACTTCCCACCCTCCACTCTCTCCACAGGAAGAAGAGCCAGTTACCTGATGAGTTTAGGGGAAGAATAGCACGCTCAGCTCAACCTTTTTCTCCTCAGGAGTCAGCACCAACCCCACTTGATCCCACCCCCCAAAGTATGCATTCTTTGCTCTGTCATACTATTGGTTTTACATGCACAGGTTGCCACAGGTAAGGCCTGAGATTTCCACCTCTCCCAAGGATTGGGTGGGCAATTTTATTTTGGGAACATAGCATTAAGAAGTCTGTTTGGCTGCCCACTTGGGTCACAATAATCCTCTGCATTTCATCAGCAATGAAGCTGACCTCCTTGATCTCCATTTGTCAGAATCCATTTGTCTCTCTATTGTTTCTCACCTGGGTGAAGAGGAGAAGAGTGCTATTTATGGATGCCCTAAAAGCACAGCAGTTAATGAGTTCAACACTGAATTTATTGAACCTTGTATTCAAAAAGTCTAATAACAGTAGTTACCACTAAGCTTAAAGCACAAACATCGCTAATAAAGGATTTCACATTTGAAAACTTTTAATACAACTGTGAAGCAAATCCTTATTTTTCAATACTATAATTTAAATTGGTCCTCAGATCATGGATTAAAATAAATAATATTGTTAAAATGTCCATACTACTCAAAGTAATCTACAGAGTCAATGTAATCCCCATCAAAATACCAATGTCATTCTGCACAGAAGTAGAAAAAATAATTCTAAAACTTATATAGAACCACAAAGGACCCAGAATAGCCAAAGCTATCCTGAGCAAAAAGAACAAAACTGGAGGAATCACATTACCTGACTTCAA